CAAGAAGCACCCGCTAGAGTTAGGCGCTACAACAAGAAGCACCCGCTAGCAGAAGTTAGGCGCTACAACAAGAAGCACCCGCTAGCAGAAGTTAGGCGCTACAACAAGAAGCACCCGCTAGCAGAAGTTAGGCGCTACAACAAGAAGCACCCGCTAGCAGAAGTTAGGCGCTACAACAAGAAGCACCCGCTAGCAGAAGTTAGCCGCTACACCAAGAAGCACCCGCTAGCAGAAGTTAGCCGCTACACCAAGAAGCACCCGCTAGCAGAAGTTAGCCGCTACAACAAAAAGCACCTGCTGCTGTAGGAGCTCAGTCACACTGAATAACTTTTAATTAAAACAGTTCGTAAATGGATAAAAGACTCGTAACCCTACCCCAGATGAACATCTGTCCAGTATCTAAGCGTTTGTTTCTGCTGCAGAGTCAGAGCCTCCCAGGTTGCAAAGCACCTCCTAACAGAAACAACTTCCGGTCTTGTACACTCCTGTCAAGTGAGGCCGGTCAGTGTTGAGTTCGCGAACTTACAGTCACTCTTCACCGGAAGAAATTAAACTACAGCAAAGCTACTCTAGAGAGAAATGTAGTTTGGTAAACTAAAGTTACTTAGAAAAAGCAGTTCAAACTACTTTGTAAAAATTACCAAACCGACAACATACTGTGACACAAAATTATAACATAAAAAACGTGAACAAAAAATGCCACTCAGTTGAGTTTATTTACGAGACAAAAACTGTCCTAAATAAAGCAATCTCACCTAGGCATTTTGCAAAGATATTACATATTTCTTGTAAACACATTTGTATTTTGTATTATCTAAAATAGTAACAAATATGAGCCTGTTGTGTTACTTGTCATTTTTGCAACATCTGACTTGTACAAACTTAACAACTAAAGCAGTCTACACCTTTCAGACCATCTGAACACATTGAACACTGATCTAAATGAGCCTATCTTTTATTGCTACTTCTCAGAGTAGAATCTCTTGTTTATATGACATATGAGCAGTCTCTCAGAGTTCATATCCAATAGGAGTTTAGGGTTAGAGAAGCAATGGTAAAATAAAAAAATTAAAATCATTCCTTTCTATTTATGCCCCAAAGTTATTTGTAGTTGCAGCAGCTAACTACACAAAAATGGCAAAAGTGTAATTTTACTACTTCAGTCACTACACAAATATAAATGTAGCTGAACCACCAGCAAACTACTGCAAAATGGAGTTGATCTGATATAGTACATTTTTACTTCAGGCTTTATTTATAGTTGTTTTTTTTTGTGATACTGAGAAAATCCTCAGTCCATATAGCTTTTACATTCAGTCACATACAGTATAAATACTTAAATGAAAACCCACTCTTTGTATTTTATGAAACACATTTTAATGCTTATTCAGTAGCTGGCTGAAGCAAAAGTTTCCTCTTTTGATGAAGAGCAATACTTTGTTAGATGAGTATCATTAAGAAAAACCTGCAGAGCCAATTAACCAACTAAGAAGTGTCAAGATCAGTTTATGTACAGAGGCAAGCATCTGGACCCAGGAGAGGCAAGGCAATCAATGTAGTGTGCCGCTTCCTGTCGTCTTCCTCATCCCATTGGATGACTCCGAGTGAGCACCAGCTCTATCACTTGTTTCTCATATTTCCATTTGTTTATTGGTTTTTCTGTGTCTGTCTTATATTCCGGTCACATTCACATCCCTCCTTCTCTATCTGTCTGGCTTTCCCTCCATCTTCCTCCTCACTCTTTCTTCCTGTCTCTTTTTGTTTCTGACCGCATCTCTCCCCTGATTTCTCCTCATCCACTGCTCTCTCTGCCCCTCAGGACTATTGTGTTTACTCTTTGTCTCGTTCTCCTCTGGTGGAGGATGGAGCCGTGTCTCGCCGTCATGGTTACCATGGGGTTGCTGTGGGAATAACAGCTGCCACTTGGTTGTTCAGAAACTGACAGAGACGAACAAGAGAGGAAAAAATGCAATAGAGTAAAAAACAAAACAAAACACAAACAGTTTGAAACCTCAAAGTCAGAGTTTGGGTGTTTTATTATTTTTTTTACTTCCAATAGGCCTAGGTTTGTATTAGAAAGTGAATGTAATGAACAGACACACACACCTGAAATGTAATGCAGAGAAGTGAAAGCACCCTCACCTCCCTACCTTGTCTGCTATTCCCAAGGTGCCACAGGATAAATCACGGAACTACAGAGCTGTTTATCACCCAACAGAGCAACACAATGGTTGTGCTGGTCAGGTCCCAGGTGTGTGTTTCTCTGTGTGTTTATATGCGTGAGAGTATAAACGTCCAACAATTGCTCCCCTCTGGCCAGTGCTATAAATATGGCAGAGCTTCTCATGTTGCCAGGTTAGATAACAGCTAAACAAACGGTGGTGAACGCTGATAAAACAGAGGCATTTAACTTTACTGAAACAAATGTATAAAGAAATGCATGTACAAGAAGAGTTGCAGGTTGACCTCATTCAACACAGCAAGCATTTCCCAGGGGCGATATGAAGTGATATTGTGGTATGATGGGATTTTCTATAAAGCAGTTTAGGACATGTTTTGGAGTTATGTCTGTCTTAAAGAACTGGCAAATAGCAGCTTTGAATGACTAGAAACAAGTTAGTATAAATACATCTTGGCCTATTCAATGCAAATTGTTTCTTCAGTCAGGATCAGCACTATGTGAGACAGACTGAGCATTTCATTTACTTGTTACATCAAAAACCTGGCCTGATTGTCCAGATATGGGCCAGCTGATCATTTATTAAATTTGCATCGGATGTGAACCACTGCCAAAAAAAAGTGCCCAAACATTTCCAAGGCTCCTTACAAACATAAACTGGCAAATTTACTTACTGGCTAATTGTATCAGTCTAAAAATGATTGCCTACTGAAGTACATTTGCTGATTGCTAAGCATTTAGTGAAATTAGCATCTTAATTTAAAATATCCACAACCTTAAATGAAATTAGGCTTCATTTTCATGAGTAGAAACATCACAGAGAAACTTTGGCACATTTGCCAGTGAAGTTTTAATTAATCTTTGAGAAAAAAAAGAGAGAAAAAAGAAAAGTGTGGTCTTTGTAAACATCTATATATATTTTTCATATCATGTCATTTCCCGCATTTAAAAATACCTTCCTCTTGACTACATTATTTCCAACATCAGAACGAGCCATGCATTAATACACTCATGGATGGAATGTGAAGAAATACACACACACACACACACACACACACTAGGGAGGGAATCCAATTTCCAGGCATTTTGACTGTGGGACAGGTTCGCACTCTAATTCATTAATCTAGCATATGAAACTCAGCCAGGACACACAGGGTGAGCCCTTAGAAGGAGGTTACAGCACCAGCTGACACACACAAAGACACATGTACATGTGCAAACAATAGAGAGATGAGAACAAGGGGAGGCATGAGGATCCTAAAGCAAAGAAACACACATGTTGAAAAGAGGAACATATGATAAGCAACATATGTTGAAATTCACCCACAGAGAGAGAAGAAATGACTGACAAACTATACTGTCACATTCACTACAAGGGCAAGCAAAGTGAGGAACATCAAAAGGGAATGAGACATAGACACACACAATGTCTCACACATACCAGCAACAGTCAAGAAGACAACGGCTTGCAGATAAATGGTTGCTAAGCAACAGGCAAGAGGCTAAAAATATGGTTGTGTTTCTTCACTTACTTAGAAAGCATGCACACACACACACACACACACACACACACTGAGACGTGCTCCAGCGAGGCTTATCAACCCTTTAAAAGCCTTCGTTTCTAAATCAGTCCCAGGATTCTAGTGTTCTGTGGCGTCAGCAGCACTACTCTCCTGCCCACTCATTCTCTTATAGAAGCTTCATTGAGTCGTTGCAAAATAAAAAAAAAGAGTTTGGCCCAGCAGGCGTCCTGTCAAAACTGGCAAATGGCTGATGGTCTCTATCATGGGGCTTCACTCCTGTGTTTAAAGATATTGTGTGAGACATAAATGACTAAAGAAAGTGAGACGACAAAAGGGTCTGGGTGGTCAGTCAGACTGTTTCAGACAGATGACTACCAGGGCTGTAGTGAATACCAAGGAAACTAAAGTCATGACCGGATAGGTATAGGGTGACTGGTAAATAAACAGGAAGTTAGTTATTGTAATTTGGGACTGCTTACACTATTGCAGTCGCTGACACACAGCTCACTGAGGCAGTTAAGCTACTACACTCAAATTGCTGCAGTTCGCATCAAAATTTATCTCCTCAGTATTTTGAAAATCATAGTAAAAACCTAACATGCTGGACTATCCTTTAAGCCAGCTCCTCAGTGAGGTGGAAATTTGGGCATGCCATTGTGTCTAATTCCCTGACAGCAATGTTAAGTATATTTTGGAAACAGAGCGTCAGAGCAGGTGGCCAAACTCCTCCTATTCTCTTTTCTTCTATAGCTGTCAGAAAGCGCAGGGAACTGGTGTGGTATTTATAATGTCACATTTGAGGGGAGAGAGTAATGCATACAAGCGTTTGTATCCCCATGGATCAATGCCTCTCTGCTCCAGATCACCCACTTATCTCCCATTTGTACAAGAGCTGCTGACCTTGGTGAGGCTGCGTCAGACGAGCTTGCGCCTGTTTAGCCCAGTCTTGACTGAGCTGGCTTTGTACAGCCTGCATTTACATTAGGCTGAAAGCAGTGGGCAATTCATCCATATTAAACAATATGGATCGTGGGCAGGTTAATTGTGTTTTTCAGTCCCATTTTACTCGTAATGAACAGTGCTATAACAAAAAGCAAAATTCTTGTTTTCTTTCAGGAGGATTTTTCCTTTAAGTTTACAATCAGCATTGTGGGCAGCTGAGAGAAAAAACACTCGCTACCTTCTACGCTGCTGTTAACAAGGGGAATGCATTTACCAGTTATCTGCACTGATAAGCCATACGCTCTGCCTTCTGTCCAGCCTCAGTCCAGCCCTTGGGCAGAGCAAGGGTGTTAACACAAGCATAATGTAAATGCGGGTTTGAACACTTTCACAGATGGAGGACAACAGACTAGTGGGTTTCCTGTGATATGTGGCATGTTCTCATTTTTAGCTATTCTGATATCTCACTAATTTTTACGCACATCACATCTAATGACAGACCTTTGCACAAAAACAAAATAAATAGCACCATTTTCAAAACAGGCTCATATCCATAATAATTTAGCACATTTAGCTGTGTAGCTTTATGAATGAGTATTATTTTTCACTACAACTTGCAGCTTGTGGTACTTGTACGATATCTGCAAGGTATAACTGCACACTGAAAATGAATGTTTGTTTTTTTTTACCTGTGACTTAATCTGTGACAATGTTCACTGGAAAACAAAGACTCCTGTTTGGTGTTTTGGGTACAAAGAAATGCCCATTGTGATATTTCAGAGCTGCCATACATTTCCCTTAATATTCTACTCTTCTCTCTGTCTGTGAGGCATCCAAGGATTTATGTTAACCACCTTTTTCCCTTGTGATAGATTTCCAAAAATGTCTTCTTGAAAAGGGTGTTTGGATCTTTCTGGTCTTCGTCCAGGGTTTCCCCTACAAAGAGTCAGACTTAAAATATATTAAATATCGTTTTTGCACACAGATCAGTAATTTTCTTATATTATTACATACACTTAGAAACACCGAGTATAGTCATAGTTTCGATTTGTTGTCAAATCACTGTCACAAGCAACGTCTTCACAGTTGTTGTCATGGTGACAGCCAGTCAGATCCTTCATGTGTCTGGTTTATTGACGTCTCTTGGTGTTACATCATTTCCTGCTTGGCTGCAGCTGCTCACATTTCCCCATGATTTTAATGAAACTTTAGTGTAAACAGTGTAGTTCAGAATGTGTAGTGCACAACGACTATCATGAGGTGGAATGCTTGCTCCCTGGAGCTCCAAGACTTTCTCATTTTAATTTCCTTTGTTTCTCCATCCCACTTTTGAGATTTCTTCCTGGCGCTAATCTGTTATGTCAGTCCAAGTCACATCTCACGTAACTGAAAACTTTCTTCATCCTTTCTAATCATACAGTATTTACAATTTTTTTGTAACAATTGCACAGTAACAACATCAACACGTGACGCCATTTAAAAGTCTAGAAAAAAGGGAGGCAGGGTTAGGTTTCTTTCACAAGATAAAATAGAGAGGAGCTTGAGATTGGTTAAAATAAAAAAGAGGGTTGACTACAGCATTTCATTATCACAACTTTAAAACAGTTCCTACAGGGGAGGTAAGAGTAAGGTGAGAGGGAGGGACGTGTGTGCACTCTGAAGAATGTTTGCAGGACAGTGTACAGTATTGTGTGTGTCCATGTGTGTCCATGGTGGAAAGATAATTTTGCACAGTGAGTTCAAAAAGAGACACAATATAGAAAAAACTGCTTGTCAGTTTTCATTTTGCTCAGAAGTTGGTGGCTGGTCCTCTGCTCTAGAATCACCTGAGGGCACCAAGGTTTCTGTGTGTTTGTGTGTGTGTACATTTAGGGGAGGGGGCGTTAAAAGTCAGAAGTCACTAATAGTATCAGATAGAGTTCAATATGTAGGGTGGGAGGATCCACAGTTCCCATGGAGACGAGATACAGGTACAACAGAAAAAAGTCGAAAGTGTCAGGAGGGGGCGTAGAATTTTTTTTGCCCATCCATTCTTCTTCTTTTACTTTTTTCCTTGTCTTCTTTTTCTCTAGTTGTTCTCCAGACTTTCTCTTTTCCCTAGTTCAGTCACCTCCAGCTTCCTCTCTCAATTTTTCCCCCTTTTCTTCCTTCTCTTTTTCATTTGTCCTCTCAGAGCCCAGCTGATTGGCTGACAGCTCTTCTTGCTGTTTGTGTCTTCTTCTCTCCTGCTGGTTTGCCAGTATACAGGAACAATGTCAGCTCTTTAAAGTCTGCATTGCAGTTTTTTTGTAATTAAGTAATTCTTAATTTACAGGCTTTGTATTTCCAAGTTTCTTTGTCACTGGATAGATGGTTGGATCTCTGTGCCTATACAGAGCTGTCAGTGCTAAGAAAAATAATTGGAGAGAACAAATGTTCATAATGGTTGATAGAATTTGTCAGGAAAAAGATGTTTTTAACAAAAAAATCTGTATTTTGCACATTTAAAAAATGAAATCTGGACATGTTGATCCCTTAGAAATATCAGAATCAGCCATAGTGATCCACCTGTAGCCCCTGTTCTTTTATGAAGAGTCCCCATCGCTTTCTGTCTCTCTTCATATTGACAGTGGGTCTCTATCCCTCCCCTCTCCTCTCCATCTAAAACCCTGTTATATGGCAATAGGCCTCCAGTGAAGCCAGCAGGATGTAAATCAACCAGAGCATGATGAACAGCAGCGATGTTAACAACTTGCAAGTCCGCGGCCCACCCAGCTCGCCGCCGGCCACAGTCGGCCGCCTCCGGTACAGTAGCGTGACCACACTCAACACAGCCATTATGGTGTAGAGGGTGACGGAGAAGGCCAGGCTTCCTGGGTCCACCTTGAATGGTTCACCTTTGGACTGCCAGACAACGGCGGCAATGGTCCACGCCACACCGATGCCCAGGAACACGTTGACAGCATTGGAGCCCGTCACATTGCCAATGGAGGCATCAGCGTACTGGTCCTGGATGGCAGCGACCTTGCTGGCAAATGTGTCTGGATGGGACAGACAAAAAAGTTTTAGAGCAATCTTAAAGCTTTTGTTGTTGTTTTTGGCCCCATGTGTTTGGATCCGAAACTGATTTTAAACCCTAAATCAAACATACAATCAAGGACTTCACACTGCTGATAACTGCAAAAAGAATTTAACATGAGAACAACACAATGTTGAAGCGAAACAGCATGGCCATTTAGTCTGGCTATCAGGCTACAGTGTCCCTTCTTCATGCACTTTCATTTTAATGCAGTATCTGAGATCAAGACTTCAACCAGTGTCGCCACTCTGAGGATGAATCTGTGCAAGATTCTGCAAAATGTCCTCAGCACCACCGCAGATTTGAAACAACACTGACACTATTTACATGGCTCAGATGGTTACAAGTGAGCTCCATAAACAGCTTTTAGTAGTTCACAGTCTTCAAAAAAGCTTCCAATCACAATTTGTCTCTAACCGCCTGAATCTGCAAATCTGGTGTAAACCGGCCTGATAATCCTTGAATGTCTCTCTAATGTAATAATGCAGAAATGCTTTTATAAATCTAGAGGAGGGCTGAGGGAGGGGGGGTTAGGGTGCATGTCAGACAGTGGGGGAAAAGAGAGGAGATAAATGTTTCTAAGTTTTAAGGAGATAATCAAACACTCCCAGAGGAAAGTACATGGCTGTGCATCACATCAGCAGAGTGAATACACATTTTCACTCACACACACACTGAGTACTGCAGCGCACACAGGTCAGAATGATGGATGATACAATAGTTAAAACACAACATTCAATAAGAGGAAGAAAGAGAGAGAGAAGGGAAACACCAAGCCAGGATGCTAAAATGACTGGGACGAGGCACAAGGGTAGATACATGAGGTGGAGTATGAGAAAGGAGGAAGAGTAAACGTGCAGAGACGGATGATGGGAAAATGGAAAAAAAGAAAAGCCAATAACTTAACACAAGCATGTCTTGTGACTGGACACACACACTTTGATAATGGCTATCAAATCTGCATGTACAGCTTCCAACACGTTGAAGGAATTGAACTGAATCAGACGCTTCTTTTCAGAGACCTTGACTTTTCCAGACACGGCTGATGAGAGGAATGAGGAAGGGCACTGAATTAAAACCCTGGGATGATGCGTCACCTCCGGGCAGTGACAACCTCAGGCTGAAGGCTGAGATAGAGCTGAAGTTTTACAATTCAATTTTGATTGCCAGGCTGCTTACTGAGGGCGGCGGCTGTAAGGAGGAGGAGAAAGGATCAATCTTCCTCCTTTTATTAGTTTATTCACTTGTCTGTCATATATGGATTTTGAAGGAAATATGAATCTTATTTTATGTTTACTGCTATTTAAAAACGTCTGTGTGAAGAAACATGAACTATTGGGCCTGTTTGACTCTGGGAACCTACTGACCTGTAACAGGACATATCGCCCTTGTTTCCACTGCCCTCCGCCCGCTTTGGAGACGATTTCCTGGGGCTAAATTTTGGCACCCCTCATGAGCTAGTACTACATCAGGTTCCAGGAATGCAAGTGGGGGAGGATGTGGTTGCTGTCACCCGTGATTCGTTTAATGGCAGTGTACTCGCATCTCAAATATTACAATGTTACATGCACAGTGTATGAGCCTACTGTATACTCACTGCTTTAGAGGTAAAAGTCAACTGGTGTAAGTCAAATAAAACATTACAGTCAAAACAAACACCAAGGATATATTTTTATTTCCTAGCAGAAATGAATTTTAATTGCAGTTTGACCTTGGTTTGCTCAGGCGTTACTGCATGTAGTGGGAGTGAGGAAGATGTGGGAAATAACCACTCACCTGGCACCGATGTTCCCAGTGCCACAAACACAACAGCCGTCACTGAATCCTTCAGCCCTATTGTGCAGCCAAAGTGTGAAGCCAGATCTCCGGTGACTGCTGTCAGGACGCCAATAAGCGATATGGAGACGATGAAGCAGGCCCAGCCGTTCCAGTACTCCGTGGGCGGGACAAAAGCGAACAGAACCTTCCAGAAGACTGTGAGGAAGTGCATGATGTAGTCAAAGCAGGACGGCAGCCGCTCCTCACCGCTCTCCTCCTCATCATCATCTCCTGTGGTGGGATCGGGTGGAAGAGAGGAAGATAGCAGAACAAAGCAGAGAGACAGTTCAGAGGAGGAGGATGAGACAGGTAACATTTTTACTTTAATTTAAGTAGGATCAGTGGCAGGAATGAAATGAAACTGAATAGATTAAAGTAGATTTGTGATTCAGGTTCAAATGCATGTTATTGCATTGCATGTAATTTAAAAAAAACTTTTTCTCATCCTCCATTATTTTTTCAAAATGATGTCAAGAAAGATTCACCCAAAATCACCGTTCAAAAATCACAGTGGTGCCTAATGTCCTGTGTGTGTCTGTGTGTGTGTGTGTGAGTGAGAGAGAGAGTTACCTGCGCTGACAGTCACGGCACTGACAAACTGCTCCCTCCAGCTGCTGCTGCCCACCACTAAGGCCAGGTTTGTCTTCTTGATCAGCTTATCTACTGTGCTCTATACGCGTACATCATACACAAACACACAAACACACAAGCAAACATGCAAGTACAGAACAGGAAAGTCACAACCCCTGAGTGGTTAATTTACTTGTAGCCACTCAAAGGGGAAAATGCAGGTTCCAAGCCTTTCAATTAGTTCCCATGTTGCAAAGGTACATTTAAAAAGTCAATATGTCATAATGAAAATTTGAGGAAAAGGGTGTTGTGAAACTGGCTGTGATGCCATGAAATCTAGGAAAAGCCTTCGGGCAGTCTGGTTGCGTCTTCTGTTTAAAGCAGTGAGAAAGGGAACTAATAAAAGATGCTTGCAGTGGCTATGGAGCATCGCACCAGCAGTCATTATCATAACAGAGCTGTCAGGGCTTTGTGAGGTGAAAACCCTGCATGGTTTACTATATAATAAGTGAAGGGCAGGATAAAAATAAAGTACAAAACTTACAGCACACCAGCAGTATCAATAATAGAAATAAAAAAAAATAATAATTCCAGGGACAATAAAGGATTTATAGATTAGGATACAGGACCCAGACACCATTAAAGCATTTCAGCATTGTACAGTAGAAGACAGAAGAACTAGCACTGCATGCAAAGGTGAACTAAAGAGTGAGAAAGATAACCTTTTCAGTCCTCTTCATAAGCACATTTACTGCTCTCTGCACACACATACACACACACACAATGACACAAATGGACAAATGAGAAAATGCAAACTGAAG